ACTCATAGCGACCCCTCCTTGGGTTTCTGAGGCAGTATCATTACAGAAGTAGATTGCCCAACCTTCCTTCTGAGGAATGGCTCTGCTGGGTTTGAACGGCCAGACTCCTGGTTAGCAATCCAGTGCCTTAGGCACTAGGCTACCAGAGCTCCCTATATGCGAAGACTAGGAGGCTGCAAACCTACAAATATTAGGTATGGTACATTAGGCAGCCTAGTTTAGATTCTCAAAAGAACCTGTACATTACTCAGGTTTTAGCGACTACTGTTATGTTAAAGGGAAGGATGTTATCTAGAATGGTATTTTGGCAAATTTAATGCTTACACCATAAATGAAAGCATAAGAACATTTTAGACACGTGTCTATAAAATACAATGATTCTGCTTGGTTTTAGTACTAAAGTTTAAAGTAATAAAATACACTATATCCTAATGGCTTCTCCTACTGCCAACAAAAAACAGGACACTTACTATGACAACTTAGTAAAATGGGAAAACATGAGGCTTTGGAGTCAAGCCTAAACACAAATACTAAATCCAGCATTTACTGGCTTTACTTGAGATCTTGGCGAAATCACTCACTTAACCAAACACAAACTCTGATCTCTCCTCTGTAAAATGGAGAACTCCATCTTAATAGTAACTACTATATGCCACATGCTGTATGTGAGACAGCAAATGGAAAAAGCTCCAAGCACACCATCTGATTTTTATCAAGTAAATGAAAGATTTTATTCCCCAGACCACCATTTTATTCCCCACACCAACTTGTGTGCCATCAAGTTGATTCACTCAGTGACCCTATGGGACAGAGCAAAACTTTACACAAGCAGACTGCCACCCATTTCCTCCTAGTGTGGCTTGCAGGTTCAAACTATCACACTTTCAATTCACAGCCGAGCACTGAAACCACTGCACCACCCAAGTCCATCCAACCATGTTCACACCTGCTGCCACTGATTTGCTTACAACTCATAGCAACCCCACTGGGTTTCTAAGGCTGTAAATCTTTACAGTAGATTACCTTATCTTTCCCGCAGAGCAGCTGGTGGGTTTGAACCACCAAGCCTCTGGTTAGGAGCCAAATGGGTTTCTACTCCATCAGAATTCCAACCACGCTATAGCCCATTTAATTTTTAAGATACTTAATTCAAATATTCACTTTGCTACTGAGATTGGGCTAAAAACTTCAAATTTCCCCAAACATAAAAGGAATCCTTTATTTTTCAATGTAGGTAGAACTATTCAAAAACCAAAAAAAAGAAAAACCAGTTGCTGTTGAGTCAATTCCAACTCATGACAGTCTCATGTTTGTTAAATAGAACTATGTTCAATAAAGTTTTTAACAGCTGACTTTTTGGAAGTAGACTGTCAGGCATTTCTTCTGAGGTACCTCTAGGTGGATCTGAACTATAAACCTTTTGGTTAGTAACCCACATTTACCCAGCTGTGCCACCCATGGTCTCCTTAGAACTAGTCACAGAACCTATGTTATACTCTATTATCATACTGTGTTTCAAGACACTTTATTAAATAATAATGGTCAGTAAATGTCATAGTTGTAAAGATTTTAGGTCCATTCGTACGTACTCTTAAAGATACTAGATAGCAGCTAACTAATAAACTTGTTTTTACTGTATCTTCTATACATGGCTATTCAGCTTGGGAGGACATGATATCAAATGGTATTATATCTATTCATCTGTTCATTTACAAAATAATGTATATATAACAGAAGTGCCTGTAGAAATGTAGTTTTCCATGACAGGATGTATCTTAAACAGTTACTACTCTTTGAGACTGCAAACTAAATAAAGTCAATATAATTAAGTACTGCAATAAAAAGACACCAACTGAGTAGGAATAAATTTCAGATTGGGGCGGAAAATGCCAATAGAATCGACTATTCAACACAAAGGCAGATAAACCTTCAATAATATATTGACCATAAATGCAGTAAGAGCAATGTATCTGTTGTGTTCATTAGTTTTATCTGTACCATATCCAGGCAGCTAGAATTGTGAATGGCTTCAAGTAGATCAAATGGCTAAATAAATGAAGAAAATGAGAACTCTGTCAAGACATTTCTTCACAATGAATACCAAACACAACACATGACTCAAAATTTGTCACTTTTAAGTCTCATTCACAAATTCAACAATACAGTAATAGAAAAAACAAAGTGAAAGCTCAGAAAACAGGGTAAGAGGAACCCATACTCTCAATTCAAACATGTTTTATAGAATGTAGCAGAATAAAAATATTTTTCTCTGTGATGATTGTTCTCAAAACTAAATTGGGGAGAAATAACAACTTGGCAAAGAAAATAGCATGCAGGTAAGTCTCAACATTTTATAGGCTTTCACATCCAAAAAAGGCCAAATGTGACTTTAAAAGTTGAGTTCTACATATAGTTTTTGCATTTCTTAACCATCAGTGACTTTTGGTATCAAAAAGTATCACATGGTTTCAAATTTTCATGAAATTTTTAAGTACATAAAAGCTTATTTTCTTCAGTTAAGCTGTCCCAACATTATTTCCACTATCAATCTAATCATAGATGAACAGGTAGACCAATCATATAAATTTATATGGAAGTTTACATTTATTCTCCCCCTGCCAAAAAAAAAAAAAAACCACTTTAACATTCCCATTTCATTCTAAAGTAATCTCTCCTATAGTCACTTCAAATGTACTCAAGTAGACTGACAATGGAAAAAAAAATCTTACAAATGAAAATTAAGAAAACAGCACAATTACTTTAGATCTAACTAAAAAATATTTATATGCCAGGCATTTTCTATTTCAAATGCTTATTGTTTTCCCAAATTAGGCCAGTGTTATAATTTGTATCATTTTATTTCCAAAGACCATTTTTACAAAAAGTAAGTTATGCTATAACTCTTTTAAGAATTTCAAGCCAGTTATTACCAGTGTGTTCATAATGGTGGTTTAGAAATTTATCAACTTTATGCTGCGACTGTACATTCCCGTTGGTGTCCCTTATATTTCTAATTTCTTACAACCTGGTATACCCTGATCAATGTATACTGTTACTTCTTTTGAGGAAAATATATCCATCATAATCTCACTTTTTGAGACAATAATAAAGAACAACTGTGTGGCTATACAAGTGAAGAATACATTTTATATATTAATCATCCATTTCACTTAGGCAAGTCTAATATACTGTTTTCTGTATTATGACAGTTTACAGTCTAATTTTGAGTCATTACTACTTAAGACACTATACTAAAATTTTTCTTTACATGCATTATTTCATTTAATCATCAAAACCACCCTATAAAATTCAATATGCCCATTTCACAAATGAAAATGACTTGGCCCAATGTTACAGTTAATAAACAAATGGGGTGGCTTGGATCCAAATTCAGGCTGTTTCCAAATCTTGTATCCTGAACTAGAGGTAAAATAAAGTATGTATGTATGTATAAATACATATATAATTCATAGCTGCAAACTCTCATCATTCCAAATCTGGGAGGAAAAAAATGTTACTTCCGCATTTTATAGACTAGGAAACAACACAGAACACTTACCCAATGAAACCAAACCCATTGCTATTGAGTTGATTCTGACTCATTAGGGACTCAGTAGAACTGCCCCATAGGGTTTCTAAGACTGTAAATCTTCACAAAAGTAGACTGCCACCTCTTTCTCAAGCAGAATGGCTGGTGGGTTCAGACCACCGACCTTTCAGTCGGTAACCGAATGCCTGAACCACTGTCCCACCCAAACTACTACACAGAACTGTTGTTGTTGCTGTTACGACACAGAACAGTTAGGAACAAGAAATTAGATGTAGAAGAACAAAAAGAATTTGATTCCTATGCCTATGCTTTTTCTAGGAGCTCTGGTGGCAGAGTAGATAAGGCATCTGGCTACTAACCAGAAGGTAAGTGGTTCAAACCCACCAGCTTTTTCTACTTACAGGTCTTCTCTGAAATCTCTTGAATTTTTTTTCTTAACTTCACTGCAGAGTTAACAGGGTCAAAATAATTAATATCCTTTTTTCATTTATAAAGGCTAACAACAGAAGCAATAGTTCTTTCTTTTACACATTAAGAAATGTGTAATTTTGCTTAAAAAGATTCTATTACATGCAAGTCAAAAAGACAGCTAATGAGTGATTTCTGATCACATTTTACAATCTCTTCTTAATGAAGAACTGATTTATTTTATGGGATTTAAAAACAGATTTAGAAGGGCATTTGGAGATTTGTAATTCAGATGAGGAAACTGATAGTACTGCAGAGTCAGAAATAGAAATTGGGTCACCTGACTCCCAGCCCATACCATCATTAAGTATCTTTTTTATTACTGGCTATGTACAAAACATACTAAGAATTTAAGTTTGCATTTAAGTAGCTAACAAAGATTTAAAATTTAGGTCATAACTAGCTTTGTATCTTAAGTCAAAAGAATGCTTTTCCTCAATTAGTTTTACGAATTCAGATAGTGTTAATGTAGATCCTTACTAAAATTATATACATGTTTATGTAAAAATATTACCATACATACATATATATGTAAAAATGAACTTTTAAAACGAAGGAACACTGAATATGAAGTATAAATAAAAAATTTTCCAATTTAAAGTAACTGATTCATGGAAGAGGAGGAAATAGCAAGAGTAGCTACAGATCACAGACAGTCTGTAATTCTTCCTTTTGAATCCAAAGGCTTATGCCTAGTGGTATTAATGATTACACTACAATTACCATCCATTTGTTACTAGAAAAACTTAAGATATTTTAAAAATCACTTTTCTTCACTTTAATTAAAAAAATTAATAGATTTAATGCTTTAAGAATGTTTCATTTCTATATCAACATTAAGATTAAATAGTGCAAAATGAGAAATGAATACACTGGCAGAGATCAGTAAAAATATGAAATTAACATTCACTGTTTTTGGACTGGGGAGAGGTCAAAGAAAATTTTACCTTCATCACTTAGAATTTACATCTATCAAATGTATTATGTAGATGACTAGCTCTTGCCTAGTTTCCTACTCAGGTTTTTCTGTGTAGGGAGATTTATGGTACCAGGGCCATCTATCCATATGCAACTACTAAAACACCATGTCTTATGAACAGGACTTTATCCCAAAGGGTTCAGACACAACTGCAAATTCTGTGGGAATAGATTTGGGGAGAAAAATTATCCATTTATTCTGAACTAGAACAGTATGGACCCAGGTGTGTAAAAATCAATTTGTGAAAGTCCCTTGTGCCCTACAGTAAACATTAGCCAATGAACCTTTTCCAGAAAGTGAATCATCAGTACATTTCCCAAGAACTTTGGAGGGAAAAACTGTATCAAATACAAGCACCGATTTTAATTTACCTTCAATGACTTAATAAATTTAGAGTAAAAGAAGCGAACAGTGAAACATCTACCAGAAGAGTACAATTTTACAATTTGGCTAAATGTTAAGAATAGTGCCACTCTTACACTACGGAAAACAGCCCAGCCAATAAATCATATACAATAAAACCTAAGAAACTCAGAACCTGTTTAAGTGGAAACTCATCAGAGGAGGAGAACTCAAGTATATTCTACTAAAGGATAGGTCAGTGGTAAGAATGTATTCAGTCAAAAGCAGAAAACGTGACACCTAGAAAAATCAGTCCCACCCATCAAGTTCCATTGAACCGTACACATTGAAGAGAAAAATTTTATACTGTTCCAGCTGATAAAGCTAGGTCATGTCATCTGTCAGTACTGATTAAACGTATTAACTTCATAGTGAATATAATTACTAAATCACAAAATTCTTCAGGGATGAAGACATGAAATATTTCTAACTGGGAAAAAAAAACGTTTTTAGAGGCGAAACTAAAAGCTTAAATCCTTAGATTATTGAGAAAAAAAAGCCTTCCTATCCAAACTGTAATTGTGTAAAAGCATTCTAGGAGCCCTAGTGGACAGTTCCAACCCACTAGCAGTTCCATGGGAGGAAGACCTGGCCATCCGCTATCTGTGAAGATTACACAGCCCTGAAAACCCTATGGGGTAGTTCTACTCTGTCCTACAGTTGTTGAGTTGTAATTGACTCGATGGCACACAGTAAGAGCTACTCTATACTTAGGTACAGATTCCAACTCTATCATTTACTACCTGTGACCCTGGGCAAATTAGTAACTTCTCAATACTTCAGTCTGCCCATGAGTAAAATGGGAATAGTACCTATCATGTAAGATTCTTCTAAAATTTAGAAGATACATGTGAAGTGCTTAGAACAGTGCCTCCAACTTATTGGATCCGCACTATAACTGTTAGCCAATATTATCTCATGCTTTTGACAAGACAATGGAAAGAACTTTCTGAGTCAACCAGCGACTCCCATAGAATAACCTTTAAAATGGAGTATTCAAGACCTAATCATAAATTTCATTGGAAAATCAGTCATAAACAATGGTCTACCACATTAAAATACAAATTCAACAGAACTTTTGATACTGAACAGTTCAAGCAGCCCTACCTATTGAAAATAATCTAATGTTCACTGGTGAAAGACTCAGATCAACTGTAACTAATGCCTGGTCAAGTTCTATACATAAAACAGAACCTTCCAAGCCTTTCAAGAAATGTAGGGATGATGTATAAAAATACCAGTACATACTCTATTTCGCATCTTTTTTAAAAAAAAAATATAATAATGAAAAGCTTAATTATTTTTTTAAATTCTATCAAGCACTAATAATCTCGTTTGGACAAAACGAAGCCATAGGCGTGAAACAGCTGCTTATTTTTCTTAAAAATCTACTTCAATCTTATGCTACATATTTCTTTTCACTAAATTTGAGAAAAGACTACTGTGATATATTATTTTACCTATAATTTTTGCTCTAGGTGAAAGCAGAAAATATTTATATTCCCCAAGGGGAACGAGTGTCAGGGGAAAACAAACTAGGTTTTATTTCCTAATCCCTCAATTACTTCCACTTTTTAGTGTGAAATCTATTTTACAGCAACCTCTGGATTGGGTTTATATAAATTTAAAAAGACATACATACATATCACCTTTCCACATCTCAAATCAAGCTGTAAGGGTTTCTAGGCAAATTTTCTGCTCCTAACAGAAGTTTAAAAAAAAAATGGCCCATTGTGGTTTTTGTCCATATTCTTAGTCACTTTAACCTAAAAATAATGAATTTCAAAATGCTCTTATCAAGCAAAAAAAAAAAAAAAAAAAAGTTCCTATCTCACAAAGAGACCATTTGAATATATTTCCATCTTAAAGTTCAGTCTGCACATCTGATTTTTCTCACATAGACTGGAACCCAATAGCTTAGCCAAATAAACCAAAAGAACTGACAACCTTAGCATTTACAGTATCTTCCTGAATCCTACCATCTATTACATTAACTCATTTAAAAAGTGCCTTCTAGAAATAGTCAGTGGACAAAGGTTAACTTCACCTTTGTCAACCGTCCTTCACACCAAGAACTTCCTTGGCTTTGTCATCCTGAAAGTAACTTTGACTTTATTTATAATCTTACTGATCAAGGCTCCAATTCCAATCAAGCAAATGGAGCCAGTTATGTACATGGAAAAAAAGGAAGCTTCGCTCAAGATTCTTAGGCAAGTTTTCACTAAAACTCAAACTACAAACAAAAAAGTTTCTGCAAATTAAAAAGTTCCCTGTTCTTTTCAGAAGTAAATAATGAAAAACTCAACCATACAGTAGGTAAAGAGGAAAAGGTTTTGAATAGACTAAATCCAGAATATCCAGAATTACTGGATCGTCTAAAATACCACTACCATAATAGGATATAATACTAATTTTGAGCTCCATTAAGAGTCACAATATGGCTTAAAATTTAAAAAAAATAATAAACCTAGTTCACACAATTATTCCTATATTGGTTCCAAAAGCTAAAACTGGACTTTTGAAAAACCTGAAAATCTATCATCTTCAAGATCTAGTGACGCTTGGGCATAAACTTCGTTTTATCCCACAGGGAGATTACTACACCAAGAACCTACCTTCCCATTCTTCTTAAATAAAAAAAATTTAGACTAAATTTGAATATGAAAAGAGAGACCTATTTAAACAGCCTCAAAAAGAAGGGGGAAAAAACTACATGGAAATGAAGTGTGATGGAAAACAGCAGTGTGCATGGCTCACGTCCACTAATGGAGATTTCTAAAGAAGGGAAGACGCTGACATCAAGCCAATTTCAAGTAGACACATATAGCTGACGAGGAACTTCCATAGGGAGAATCACTCGTGGTCCTCAAAACGCAGTGGCCTTGGAGAAAGCCCCAGAATCCATGGCCACGAGCTATTTCCACAGTGAGCCTTCTCAGAAGCATCCTTAGAAGACACACCAGCTTCTCTGCCTTCAGGGGTTGGGAGGGAGGGGCGCCGAGAACCATCTTTTCTCTCTGGGAGCTGCAGCCTTAGGGACAAGCTTCAAACCTGAGCTATTTCCAGCTTCCACCGGGAGAGGGGGAGCAAGGGAGTGTAGTTCCACCGCTTTCCTCTCGCACCAACGCGCAGCAGCTGGGTGGCCGTGGCAGTGAGGGGAGAGGCGGCTGGCGCTGCATGCGTGTTTACGTGTCTCAGATGGGTGTGGGAAGAGGAGACAGACAGATTCTAATGAAAAGATGGAGGGGGGAGAGAAAGAGAGAGGTTGGGGAGGAGGGAAGGCACCACCTTTCTTTTCTCTGCTCTTCCTGGGAATCTGAAAACTCCTCCTAACGGGCCTTTCGGGCTCTTCGGGGCCTTTGAGCAGAGCGGCCGTGCTCGCCGCTAAAGAATCCTGAGGCTGCTCGTGGCTGAGGCTCTGGGTGGCCTCGGTCACCGCGGTCTCCTCAGGCGCGGCGCAGCCGCCAGGCTCCGCGATGCTGAGAACGCCGCCGCCATTTTGTGGCGAGGACTCGGGCTCCGGAAGCGCCTGCTTCATCTCGTCGTCCCCGCCGCCGCCGAATTCGCAGCTCGCGTCCGTCGGTGGAGAGGCCTCCATCTCCGCAGCAGTCGCCATCCCGTCGGCTTGAGGAGCCGGCAAGCTTCGGCCGACGAGTCCCACGGGGGTGGGGGGAAGAGGCGGCGGGCCGGCCTTGCCGCCGAGCTTCTTAGCCCACCCACCCCCTTCCCCCCCGTAGCCGCTGGCCGTGCTCCCGGCCCAGCAGCCTCTTGGGGGCCCTAAAGCGGGCACCCCAATTTTCACACCCCGACCCGTGCGCCGCTCCTCGCACGAGCACTTCTTCTGCTGGCCCCCGCCACTCAACGTGCTCGCGTCGGGGCCGAGAGGGGGCGGAGCTAGCACGGCCGCTCCGCCAATGGGAGCGCGGCACCGCCTCTACGGCTGCGGAAATCTCACGCCGTAGGGCGGGGCCTTTGGGCGCCAGAGCCCGCCAAAAGGGGTGACCGCAATACCCGGAGAGTACCTCGACGTCGCCGCCTGGTACTGAGCAAATGGGCCTGGTGGCGCTCCACGGGCTCTGAGGCAGCTCCTGGCCCACACTGCGATGGGGGAAAGTGCATTGGGCGTCGGCCTCAGCCTCAAGTCGCAGGCGTCGCCCCACTTTCGAGAAAAGATCAGCCCCCCATTTACCTTAACACAGCTATCTCTCTCCCACCATCACCAGAGAAAAGGGTTCAGAATGGTGGATGCGGATAGTCCCAGCTTTGTGAAATGTTCACGCGCATGTGAAGGCAGGCACAGGAGATAAGACTGAGCAGCAGTAATAACTTCTGCCATTCCTCCCAGAGCTTGTATCTTTACAATAGGTGACCCTCCCCTCCTAGCTCTTTTATCTTAAAGGGTTTGACCCATGGAGGGGTGGCATGGCTTCAGCAATATCTGGAATCCTTTTATATAATTTCACAACTTAGTGTCAACAGGATTTGGCTCTTATGGATTTTTTTTCCTTTGAGTTTTGCAGTTTTCTTATGGTGAATGTATATTATAGAAAAATACAAACTTTTGCAAGCAGACTTCAGCCACATTTAAAAATACACAGTAAGTGGTCGCTCCCCTTTAAAAGAAAACTATATGGTCAAGTGGAGGGAGTTTTTAATCATAGTTTCAAACCAGTCAGCATAAATTGTTGCTTTTTAAGTGCCCTCCAGTGGCTTCCAATTCTTAGTAACCCTATTTACAACAGAAAAAAAAAAAACAACGCTGATTCCTACACCATCCTCCCTCACAATCCTTACAGTCACTGCTTTGAGCCCATTGTTGCAGCCACTGTGTCAGTATCTCCTTGAGGGTCTTCCTCTTTTTCACTGACCCTCTCTGTGGTTTACCAAGCATGATATCCTTCTCCAGGGACTGGTCCTTCCTGATAACATGTCCAAAGTATATGAGGCAATTCTCACCATCCTCACTTCCAGGGAAGATTTTGGCTGTACTTCTTCCAAGACATTCTTCTGGCCAAACTCACTGCCATGGAGTTGATTCCCACTCAGAGCGACCCCCATTGGGTTTCCAAGGCTATAAATCTTTATGGAAGTAGATTGCCCCATCTTTCTTCTGCCAGTAACATCCAACAAAGATGAGATTCAAACCCACGCACACAGAGCACAATGGATTAGCAGTCCATCACCTTAACCACTTGGTCACCTTGTCTTGTTCCTCTGGCAGTCCACAGTATATTCAATATTCTTTGCTAACACAGTAATTAAAATGCATCAATTCTTCTTTGATCTTCCTTATTCAATGTCCAGCTTTCCCATGCATAGAAGACAATTGAAAATACCATGGCTTGGATCAGGCACACTTTGGTTCTCAAGGTGACATCTTACCCTTTTAACTATTTATTTTGTATTTTTTTGAAAAAAAAAAATTATTTCCCTTGGTATTATAATGAATCAGTAGGAAACATTTTCAAGAAAGTAATTGATTTAAACTTGGTTTTACTGAAATACCAGCAAAAATTTAAGAGTATAGGAGTTAGTTTAGAATAGTAATTCCCAAAATATGTTCTGTGGAATGTAGCTTCTTGGGATATTGTTGTTAGCTACCATCATCTAGTTGATTTCTGACTCATAATGACCCCATGTGACAGAGGTCTTTTACAGGAAATTTGCCAATGCAATACAGTATTTGATTTCTTGACTGCTTCCAAAGGCATTGATTGTGGATCCAAGTCAAATGAAATCCTTGACAATTTCAATATTTTCACCATTTATCATGATGTTGCTCATTGGTTCAGTTATGAGGATTTTTGTTTTATGTTGAGGTGTAATCCATAATGAAGTCTTTGATCTTCAGAAAGTGCTTCAAATCCTTTCCACTTTTAGCAAGTAAAGTTGTCACCTGCATATTGCAAGTTGTTAACGAATCTACCTCCAACCTTTACGCCACATTCTTCTTCATATAGTCCAGCTCTGTGGTAGTTAAGGTTGTGTGTCAAGTTGCATAGGCCATGAGTGTGAGTGGCTTGGCAGCTGGGTGTAGTTATTCCTCATGATGAGATTGGATGTAGTGTAATCATTTCCATGGTAGAATCTGCTGTGAGCAGTTAATCAGTTGAAGGGGAGGTACCTTCAGGGTGCAGCCTGCTTCTAGTATATATGGAAAGGATTCTGTACTTGGCTCACTATTCATCATCTTTAGGTCCTAGACTTGAACCAGTGGTTTGCCGTGTTGCCTGTTGATCTTAGGATTGTTCCTGGACTTGAACCAATGGCCTGCCATGTTGTCTGCTAATCTTGAGATTGTTGCCTGTACAGCCGGTGAGCCAGAAATCTGCCATTTTACCTCCAAATCTTGGATTCATCACCCTCAGCAGTCAGGAACTGCATGAAGAAGCCTCCAGCTTGCTTCAGAGAGCCAGGAAAAAGAGAGCTTAAGCCCAAGGTTGAGGGTCTCCATCCAGCCCCTGGAGCTGGCACTCTGAATTCAGAGTAGCCTAGTCTTCCTCTAGAGCTGGCACTCTGAACTTGGACTTCTAGCCTCCTAAACTGTAAGAAAATGAATTTGTTTATTAAAGCCATCCACTTCTGGTATCTGTTATAGTAGCCCTAGAGAACAAGACAAGCTCCTCAGATTATTTGCTCAGCATACAGATTGAATAAGTATGGTGAAAGGATACAACCCTGATGCACACCTTTCCTGATTTTAAACCATGTAGTATCACCTTAGTCTGTTCAAACAACTGCCTCTTGACTGCCTCACCATACACTACCATGAGTTATTGTGAAACAGCCAATGTTTATTGAGTATTTTCTATATGCCAGGCATTAGACAAAGAAATATGCAGACTTTATCTCTGTATTTTCCTCACAATAACAAGAGATATCAGGGTGATAATATTATGCTTAGTTTAAAATATGAAAGATCTTCGACAAATTAAGCTCAAATCGGGAAAGATTGAACAAATCAGGATTTGAAGCTAGGTCCATTTAACTCCAGAAGAAAGTGCTTATGTACTGCCCTCACTGCTCCTCTAAGATCTATTCTTCTCCATTTTATAGATGAAGAAATGGAGATGGACAATTTGCTTAAGATCTGCAAGCAGCAGAAACATGATTGGAACCCAGGTCTCTGTTCTTAAACTCCAGTCCCCCCGACACACACCAAAGAATTGACCAAAATGGTAATTAAAATAAAACCCAAAGCCTTTCCAGGTGACTGCTACTTAAAGAACAACCCCATGGAAACAGGAAAGTTGGCTTCATATGTCCTGTAATGAACATCAGCCTTGTTTAACATCTGATATGGAGCAAAGCTAATTGTGGAGATGGCTAAACCTATTTAAATCAGCTCAGTAAATCAGAGGAAAGTGAGTGAAAAACAATTATTTGTTCCTTTTAGTAAATAGTTAAGGTAAAAAAACATTTTAAAATACTGATTGAAAAAAAATCAGGGCTAGGTTGAGGGAAAATACTACATAATTGTAAGTAAAAAGTGACCTTTTAAGTATTTTTTAGAGGAAGACAAAAGATCAAAAACTCATATTTTGAGGTCCCCAAATAGTAACTTTCTCTCTTGTTTGTCTATTATTAAATATGTAAAAACCAAACTCATTGCCATGGAGTTGACTCTGATCCATAGCGACCCTACATGACAAAGAACTGCCCCATAGGGTTTCCAAGGCTATAAATACTTATGGAAGCTGACTGGCACATCTTTGTCCTGTGGATCAGCTGGTGGGTTTAAACCCCAACCTTTGGTTAGCAGCTGAATGCTTTAACCACTGTTCCACCAGAGTTCCTCATTATTTTTATTAAAGGATTGATAGGAGCCAGGATCTCTGGTGGCATAGTGCCTAAGGCATTTGCTAACCAGAAGGCTGGTGGTTCAAACCCACCAGTCACTCCTTGGAAGGAAGATTGGGCAACCTACTTCCATAGAGATACTGCCTCGAAAACCCAAGGAGGGGTCACTATGAGTCCAATATACTCTATGGCAGTTTGGTTTTTGGTTTATACTTACTAAGACCTCTGGTGGCACAATGGTTAAGGCATTCAGCTGCTACCCAAAAGGCTGGCAGTTCAAATCCACCAGCTGCTCTGCATAAGAAAGGCAGAGGTAGTCTTCTTTCATAAAGCTTTACCACCTTGGAAATCCTATAGAGCAGTTCTACTCTGTCCCACTGGTTTACAATGAGTCAGAACTGACTTAACAGCAATAGAGTTTAAGTACTGCTAAGGTACCTAGGAAATGAGTTCTAGTAACACTGTGCCTAAGACATTTGACTGCTAACCAGAAGCTTGGTGGTTCAAACCCACCAGGAACTCCATGGAAGGAAGATTGGGTGATCTATTTCCATGAAGATTTACCACCTTGGAAACCCAGTGAAGGTCACTGTGAGTCAGAATCCCCTCGATGGCAGTGAGTTTGGTTTTTTTGTTTTTCCCCCTGGAAGGTACCTAGGCACAAGGGTTAAAGTGCTCAGCTGCTAACCAAAAGGTTGGCAGTTTAAGCCCACCAGAGAAAGATGAGGCAATCTACTTCTGTAAAGATTTACAGCCTTGGAAACTCTGTGGAGCAGTTCTACTCTGGTCTATAGGTCCCGAAGTGTCACAACAGTTTGGACTCCACTAGCAAACTTAAGATTGGCAGTTTGAACGCACTTGATGCTGCGGAAGAAAGCCCTGGCAATTTGCTTCAATAACGATTACA